TCCTTGGCTGCTAACTACCAGGCCCCTGGACCTGGCTCCATCTCCACTCCAAGTCCTCCATCTCTGGGCCCCAGCTCACTCTCAGACCCCTGTCCTTGATCCCACCTTCTCAGACAGACTAGCACCAGCTGTCATCATCTTGGGCTTCCCACCACTTGACCCCTCCCTCTCAGCTGTGACACCCCTACAGGGACCTTGGGCCTCCCCTAGGCCCTGGACCCATCTCCAGGCCAATTAAGACTCCAGGCTCCTGGTTTTGGTGGTCTCTCGCAGTGGGCTACTTTACCCTTCAGCCCTTCCTGGGCCCTGGGCCCTGGCCCCAGCTTGGACCAGTGAAGGTTCCCAGGGTGGGTCCTCAAGCAGCCAGCCCTCTCTTCTCTATGGATTCACTCTCTTGGGCCCCTCCATAGATCATTCCCTCTCTCTCTAGGCTCACCCAGAGCTCCCAATAGATCTTTCTTACCACAGCCCCCTTTTCCTTCTCTGAGATCATCTGTGCCCCTCAATAGGACCCCATGCTCTGCTACACTCATTGAGTTCACCCAGGTGCTTCCATAGATCTCTCATAAATCCAACCCTTCTCTTAGGGCTTGCCTAGCTCCTTAACAGGCCCACTAACTCTCAGTCCCTCTTCCAGGTCACTAGACCCTTGTGCACTCAGTCCTTCACTCTCCTGGCCTCTCACTAGGCCACTGTGTACACAGTTCTCTCTCTGGACTGGCCTGGCCTCTCACTTGGCCCCTGTGGACTTAGCCTCCTTCTCAGAGCTCATCTGACCTCTCAACAGGCCCAGGCACTCAGTCTCTTTCTCAGGGCTCTAGACCCCACACTGGGTCCCCAGGAACCTCATCCATCCCCTTAGTTCCTACCCAAACCCCGTATGTCATTCTTGCTGGCATTCAGGAGCTGCAGCCCTCCTGCTGGGTGATGTTCCTTCACCAGCTACCAAGATGTTATTGCCAACTCTGCTTTCAGGCTCTGGGCTTATACCCTCTCTAAGCCCAGCCCTCCTCTAATCAGGGGTCTCCCTTGTAACCAAGTGACTCTCTTGATCAGGCCTAGCTTCACCTGCCAGCCCCTGAGTCAGCTGACCCTCCAGTTAGGCCTCACCCCCACCTGCTGGTGGCTCAGCAGCTTGTCTGACCTCTTAGAGTGACAGGCACACCAAGTGCCCTGCCACATCATAGCCCAAAATAGATGATGCCAAATATATTAGTTCCTTTTGCAACGTGGATATGTAATGGTGACCCCCCTGGACTGCTATAGGGCTTTGGGGAAAAACAAGATACAGATAATGCAATGAATAGAAATTGAAAAACCAATATAATTCTTAAATGAATATTGGGTGATATCAGGCCACCATTTTATCTTTTCTAGAATAAGATAGAATGCATTGACCAAAAAGAAACTGTAATTTCGATATTACTTTACTGGGTGAAGGACAAAACAAACACCTTAAATGGGGTCTCACAGAGGATTGGATCCAGTACTAAAAGTGTCTTTTATTAGTTAAATAACTGTCATTATCTTTCAAAATTAAGGTTAATGTACTGCCACCTGGAGGGGTTCTGGTTTAAAACATAATTTTAGAAATATTTTGTTTGGGAATCTTTGGACATCAACAATAACACATCAATACAAAAATAACTGGCATTTGTCACGGCCAAAACTCATCTTATAATTACTTCCACACAGAAGCTGAAGCCTGGCAGAAAGCTTTCAGGGATGGCCTGATTTGTTAACAGAAAAACAATCCCGAAATCATGACCTCAGGTAAGCAACTTCAGGTGCAAAGGTATCACCTTGCCCCTCATACAAGACAAAACTCCCTGCTAATAAATGAAGGGAAACTTATTCCATGACTCTCACAATCTAAGATCCACCTCTGTCACCTCAAACCACCATAAGCCCCCAAAATCCTCTTCACAACCTTGGAAGAAAAGTAAATAATGTGAGAAGGAAACCAGCCAACTCTGATTTCTCCTGGTCTCTCTAAAGCAGACCCAGAAATGCTCTTTATACTGCAAGTTCACATGAGTCCATCAAACATCATCGAGGATCTAGGTCACTGTTCAGACCAATCTGCACATCTGCCCAAGGTTGCCTACTTAAACGTATTTTGATCTTGGGTGGTTTTAATGACTTCCTGGTGGACAATGTATAGGGTTCTGCCATTGCAGACTGTCATTACCAGGGATCCGGGTTTTCTGTTTCCGACAGAAAAATGGAGAAAAAACAGTTTTACCCTTTACTGGAGGAAAGCACGGATTTCTCATTTGAATGGAGAAACCCATGGATTTTATAGTTTTGCAAAGAGCTCTCTGCAGGCTGGCAGAGTTCCAGCCTGCAGGGGACTGGGAGGGAGCGGGAAGAGGACAGTCAGGCGGGGGGGGGGTGTTATGTGCATATATATACACATAGCTGCCACACAGCCTGGAGAGCAGCTCCTGCAGGTAAGTAGGTGGGGACTGAGGTTCCCATAGGGAGGGAAGGATTCGGGCAGGGCTGGAGCTGCTGCCCAGCGAGGTGGTACATGAGGCTCAGGGCCCAGGGCCACAATGCACAGCTGCAGAGCCCAGCAGGAAGCGAGACGGGGCCACAGGCAACATTTCCAGGAGGTAGGCGAGGTGGAGCCAGCTCCCCACTGCTGCACACACTCCTGGAGGGGGTAAGTGGGGCCCATGCGCCCCCAGATCTGTGCATGGGGTGGAGGTGGGGGCAGGCTGTCTGCTTCAGGCTTGGACTCCCTGCCCTGCTGCTATGCAGCAGTTGTGACCCGGCACTGAAGGGAACAGTGGGACTGCACAGAAAGCTTCTTGCTGCTGTGAGCCCTATGCTGCCATGGCAAGGTGTCCCCTGCCTGCACGGCAGCAGCAGGGGAAGTGGTGCAGGATTGTGTCCCTTGCTGCTGCCACACATACAAGGGATGCCTCACCAGGGCAGCACAGAGCTCACAGTGGCAAGCAGTTTTCCCCCCTCACTCCCCCCACTAAGTCCATGCCCCCACACAGGGAAGATCTGCATGGTTTATTACACACACACACACACACACACCCCGCCTGCCAGGGCAAGAAACCTGTGTCCACAGCCCCTTGAGCCTGGCAGGAGGCAGCAGCTGCTGCAGTGGAACAGAGCCTGGCTCCCCGCCACCCCACTGTTCCCTGCAGCACCAGGTCATACCCGCTGGGCTATGGAGGCCCTGGAGGAGGGCAGCAGGGTGGGAACCTGAGCCTTATTTCAGTGTTATATTTGGGCTCTTCTACACATGCAGGTAAAGGCATGACAGGATCCAGTGCTCAATCCACACAAACATACCTCCTGCCATGCCACACACACACAGCCAGAGGCATGACTGTGAGACTGGGCATTAGATCCCATTGCGCCTTGCTGCCCCCTGCACCAGCAATAAGCAAGGGGCTGCCAGGCACAGGGCTGCACCACAGTCCCTGCAGCTGAGAGATAGTAGCAGCTATGGTCGCCCAGCTGCAGAAATGCATAGAGCCCCCACAGCTAGGGGATCACAGCCATTACTGTCTCCTAGCCCCAGGGGTATGTGGTGTGCTCCCAGCTGCAGGGGCATACCACACATCCCTGGGACTCCGAGACTGCAGCTGTGCCTCATGGCTGCCATGACACGGTGTCCCACAGCTGCCGGGTGTTGTGGAGATGCTGATACATGAGATGCTCCAGCTGCTTTCATTAGAGCAGCTCTTAGAGCTGTGTAAAAATACCTGAAGGAACTACAACCAGCACAGGTCCCTTACCTTGGACTGTTCTACATTGTTTTTAACACAATGTAACAATTCCAGTGGCGTTAAATACAAGGTAGCGCTAAATATAGACAAAGACTATTGTGTTTAATGCTGTCTGCCAGTAGTGGCTGAGATCATCTGGTAATGTTAAATACAACATTTGTTTTGTAAAAATGTTCAGTTTTTCACAGTAAACTAATCTCTCTCACTCCTCAAGCTCTTCATTTTAAATGCATTCATGACACCATTATTTCTCAATCATTTGCCTATCATGGCAGGATAAAACAGTTATGAGAAATCTTTTAACAGCAAGACCTCTGGGTTGCTTTGTTATAAGTGGAAGAAGGTGTGGGGCAGGGGAAGATCTGTATGGTTTATTATAAGTTATGGACACTGAATATTTTTCCAAACAAAATATATAAAAGCAAAGGTTTAGCAAAGTTGGCTAGTAAGGATTAAACTATTAAAAGGAGAAAAAAAACAACACTGAAAGATAAGCCCAAGGTCACATTCTACATAATAAGATTAAAAAGTTTTTGTTTACTGTGCTACTGTAAAACTAGACGATGTCAGCCTTGAGTAGCAATTATAAAGGTCACAGTGCAATGTCAGACTTTTAACCCTCATTGATGTGTGACCATCACATGCATAACGGGGAAAAAAAGCTAATTCTTGCCAGCTTCTACCTGATTAAGCACAACTAAGCAAATCTAAATAAAACATTTTTGTCAGGGGGGACAAAAAAGGAGGACAATTAGGCTAAGGAGTCTTAAGCACCCAGGCATTGCTTTGTGGTTAGGTTTCATATGTTGGAAAGTCTGTTGTAAAGGAGTTATATTACTACCCTAAGCTTAAAGCAAGCTCACAAAGGTATGGTAATTATTTGGAGAACCACTATAGGTTCTCTCTCATATTCCTGCCAATTATAACTTGTTTCCAAAGTCTAATGTTTAAGATAAAAAAAAAAAAAAAAAAAAAAAAAAACACAGGCCAGATGTGTTACAGTTACTAGTTCAGTGACATAGGAATCAGAAGGCTCTTTGATTATAGGTTCCCCAGTTTCAAATATGCCTGTAACAGGATAATTAGTATGAAAGGCCACAATAAGAAAAAACCTGAAGTCATGCTTTACATTTGTTTAAGAGCCAGATGTTCTTCCCTTATAAAACCAATCAAGGGTAAGTGCTATGATTTACTATATGAGAACAAGCCATACAGCTCAAATTGTAAGAGATTAATTTTACATACTGTCTGCAATACTGACATAGTCGGTCTGTTCCTGCCATGAGGATTCGTCTTTAAGGCATCAATTTTCTGTTATTAAAATAAAAGGGACAACACTGATGCCTGGATGCCACTCAAATACGGAGGATGAACAACTATAGAAAGTGTAAGAAAAAAGCTAAGGCATAACTTTAAAAGGATATTTTAAAGAAGAAATATCCATAAAGGAAGAAAAACTAGTCAATCCACACAGTCAGACCACAACCATGTATTTCTAATCAAAGAAGTTAAATCACATTAGTCTTACTCGTTCAGTGCAAGAAAAAAAGAAAATAACCTCAAAGGACAGAGTGGGGGCGGGGAATAATAATAATGCATGGAAACACAAGAGCTATTTAGCAGGTTAAGAAAAGTTTTATACATATATTTGAATACTTTACACTTAGCTAGGTGTCCAAGGAAATCAAAGGCTTTACAAATATTCAAATTCACCAACAGGACAAATTTTTTAGAAAAACCTCAGAATGATGCTGAAGACTCAGAATTTGGACAACTTTTAATCTTGTAAGAAACAGAAAGTCTATTCGAGCTACAGAAGGTACACAAGGCCCTATCTTGTAAAAGGTAATTTCAACTGAACACCACACAAATCTGCTGAACTAGGCTTTACATTATATCACTGTTGATCATCAAGTTTAGTCAAGAAAAAAGGGGCTGTCTTGTGGGGGGGAGGGGAAGAGAGAGCACGCACACACGCACACACACTTTTGTTGAAACAGGCTTTTCCTATTTCCACTTCTGAGAAATCAGATCTATCAACCATACAATGGTTTACGGTTTTATAAACCCATTTAATTCGAGGTGGGGGAAGAAGGGTTTAACCTCCTTCTGCACACCAAAGTTCAAAACAGAAATTATATTTTCAATGTCCTGAAATGGAAGAGAGTCAGCTTTCTACCACAGAGCAGCCTATCCTTAGCAGCAACACCCTTTTTTTTTCCTGTTAAAAATCATTTAACAAAAAAATGCAGCCTAAGGGAAAAAAGGGGAGCACATAAAAAGTGGAAACAGGGAGAGATCACCAAAGATGAATATACCTCCTCTGCTCATCCTTGTAGGGAGGCAGTTAGACGGGCCAAAGCTGCCATGGAGCTGAGGATGGCAACCCAAGTAAAAGACAACAATAAATTGTTTTTTAGATATATTGGGAGTAAAAGGAAGGCCCAGGGAGGAATAGGACCCCTGCTAAATGGGCAGAAACAATTGGTGACGGACAGAGGGGACGAGGCTGAACTCCTCAACGAGTTCTTTGCCTCAGTGTTCCTAAGTGAGGAGCACGACAAGTCTCTCACTGGGGTTGTAGAGAGGCAGCAGCAAGGCACCAGACTACCATGCATAGACCCTGAGATGGTGCAGAGTCATTTGGAAGAACTGGATGCCTTTAAGTCGGCAGGCCCGGATGAGCTCCATCTGAGGGTGCTGAAGGCGCTGGCCGACATCATTGCAGAGCCACTGGCGGGAATATTTGAAAACTCGTGGCGCACGGGCCAAGTCCCGGAGGACTGGAAAAGGGCCAACGTGGTCCCCATTTCAAAAAGGGGAGGAAGGAGGACCTGGGCAACTATAGACCAGTCAGTCTCACCTCCATACTTGGCAAAGTCTTTGAAAAAATTATCAAGGCTCACATTTGTGAGAGCCCGGAAGGACAAATTATGATG